ACTGGAGCCTTAATAGTCCAACTTTTGGTGCCTGATGGTGACTGCTGCAGGTACTTATGCTCTGGGAATGTCTTCTGTTGTATGTCTTCAATCAGGATTTATAGAAGAACCACAGTCTAAAAGACCTTTTAGAAGGCAGCTCTAATGAAGAATACTGCCATATACATCTATTGTTATTAGTAAATATTAATGTTTCCTCCTCAGCAGACCGCCACAGACCCGAGCGTGCTGCTGACTGACTGAGCATGCTGAGTGATCTGTTGCAGACGCTGGGCGTCCCCAGCCTCCCTCAGATAGTCTACTCTGACCTGACTCGTCCTTCGCTTCCATTTTATCAGCCTCAGTCAGTGAAGTGTTGACGTGAGGAACGAAGGTGACTAAACTCATCACCCTGGGTGATGAGGCCCTCCCAGACTCTTGGTCTTGCTGTGTTACAAACGGTTCTTCTTGCACCACCTGGCAGAGCCCCACCTGGCACCCCACCTTGTTAGTTTTCCCCAGTCAGTCAGTGGGTAATATATTCTACTTTGTATTTCTCGTCTGGCTTTTTTAATACAAGGCTTGCTAAAAACCAAAACTGTCAACCTGCTGGTGGCACTATATAAAGAGTCAGGGGATCAACAAAATCTTTAAGATACATTGTCTCCAAACCAGAAATGATGCGGCAATCCATCAAAAAGATGCTGAGATATTTCACTAGATAACTGAAAACTTTGCCCTGCTGGTGGCGTTAAGTAAACGATCAGAGGAGCAGAAATGTACAAGTGAACAACAAAGATATTAAGTAGACACACTGTGCTCACATTCTCCTCTTCCTCCTGCGGCTTCAGCCGCTTTTAAATCAAACAGACAAAAATAAGCACTTAAATGTGGGGCAATTTGTATTTGTGAATTAAGGAACTCAGAGTAAGAGCTTACAACGACCACTTTTCAATTTTCAATGACTAAAATATATCCATTGGTAAACAATAGCATCCAGTCAGTGATCATCATTAAGTCAAAAGCATCAGTCAAGTTTAACTTCAGAGGAGCTCTAAAGTATGCTCTTACTATAAAAGACTCCAAGAGTTATATCAGTAGAAGATAATGAGGTGTGCCATCCACTGCATCTCTGGTTATTAGTCCCCATATTGATCACAAAGGATGTATTTTTAATATAGCAAAGAACTGCCACTTGTTCCGAGTGCAGTTTCTTCTCTTTTGTGGTTTTTTATTCTGCAACAGACTCCAGAAAATTACCTTTTTGAGAAAATCTAATTTCAAGACTCAATAACAGTCTATAAACTTTGGATTTTTCCATGTGTTTTTACTTGAAACACATTACAAGCCACTTGGCCAAAATTGTGTTATCGTGTAAGCTCTGTCTTTCAGTTACATTAAAAGCATGTTAATACATTTAATTGTGCCGTGTGCAACACTGTTGGATGGCGCTCACTCTCTTTGAACATAAGAGCTGACCACGTCATCATTTGGCCTGTGGATGGGGTCCCTGTCTGTCACATGACCATTGCTCAGCTCTGACGTCTTCCTGTGGACAGTCCATGCCAGGTGAAACAGCCAGGTCTCTTACAGTTAAAGGAAAAAATAAGTAATCGGATTACAATTAGCTCTTGTAAAAACTGGGATTATTATCAGAATTACAATTTTAAAACACATTTTAAACTAAAGAGCAATGTACTTCCATGCACATGTGCAGTGGGCACACATTACAACACTACACCGGTCTTACAACACCACTCTGGTTTCTCAAGTGAAACCATTTTAATCTTACAGTTCATTATCATGGCCTCTTGTGAAAAAAAGAGTGGAAATGTCACCATTATTTTGTCTCTACAGCAGAAAAAGGGGAACAACATCACAGTACAGTACAAGGTCTGTCTTCCTGCTGTGCAAATGGTAGACTACAGCTTTTTCTGTAAAAATACACTGAGCAAAGGAACATTTCTGAAGCTAAAAACCTTTTCCCCATTTTCTCTTCTACAGTTACATTGTTCTGTTGTCCTATAGAATATGTAAAAGTCATCTTACTGCTCTTTTCTCTTTTCTTTATTTGCATAGTTGGTGTTGAGGTCATCCAAAAGTAGCACAAAGTAATCAAGTAACTTTAATATTGTAATACTTGGATTACATTCCTTCATTAGTAATGGTATTGGATTACATTGCTAACCACTTTATATAACCTGTTGTTTCCTTATGTTTCAGGGTTTTACACTTCTTTACTATGGTCATATTTATTCATAATAACAGTATTGTATTGAGCATGAAATTGTTTTAATATTTAAATAAAATATAGAAAGAAGCAGAACAGAGGGACTAATACAGTTGGAGAATACAACACATATAACACACAGGTCCTCCACTAAATCACTCCCAACTGCTTTTTAATACAGTAAACTTTGAAAATGAACATGCCAGATTCTAACCTGTTGAGATGTGTGCAAGCTTGTTTATACACAGTTTCAGACTTGTGATAGTAATACGGCCTCAATTAAATTTTTGCCTGATTTTTTTAAATCTGCTTTTTGATAATAAAATGATTTGATAAATAACAGAGTGAATCTGTGGTGGTGGAGGATGTCTTCCCCAGCTCTCCTCTTGCATCCGCTGCTCTGTGCTCTGCTGCCTCTTAAACATAAGCATCATTTCAGTGAATGGATTAAAGATTGTTGAGAGGGGGGGGGCTTCAGGGGTATCCATACTTGACTTTTCTTACAGGGGCCGCCAAACCACGAAGTGTGCCCCTGTGTGCAGCTTGAGAACAACTGTAGGCTGTATGTGCATTCAAACAGCTGCAGGGAGGGCAGTGTCGCTCACCTTTCACTGCCATACTGTAACACAGCCGTTTGACATGAGACAGCCCCCTAGGTGTCTCACTTTCTTAGTGTTTGTATGGGCTGGAGCGCAGCGCCGGCTGCCCGCCTGCCTGCTGCTCGTCTGGCTGACTGGCTGCGTTGACGTCAGCGCCGTGTTGATTTGCTAAGGCGAGAGAAGAAAGGAGTTAGTGCGTGTTGAGAGAGCGGGTACTGCGAACTGCCTTACTATGCTGTAGCCCCACTCCCCCTACACTATACGGAATCAAAACGTGCAACTTAGGTGAGTACCGATCCGGGCTAAACGCAGCTGCAGTTTCCCGGCGACAAGTGCCAGACCCGCTGCTCTGCATGCGTCTGCCACTGTCTTCTCTGTGTACTTTCATTCACCATGTGGATGTTTTGATGCATTTATAGCGCTGTGGATCGTTCTGCGTGTCCCCGTTCAACCTCATGCTGAAGTTAACTGGAGCCTAAACGCGACTTTGGCACGCAAGTTGGATCCGCGCACCGGAGTGCCGGATGAAAACAAGTGTTTACCTGATTGCGCTGCAAGGTGTTGAAGTTTGCATTAACGCACGGTAGTGTATTGTAGACATGTTAAGGTTGACGTAACCCCCCCCTCCTCCTCTCTCTCTCTCTCGGTCTGGTTTAGTATGCTGGGGATCGCAGCCAGAGGACGTGAGGTCTGGCTGTTTCACCGGGAGCCAGACAACATATGACGCCCGGCTCCATGTGACTTTACTGGAGAAATCGCGTTTGCTCGTTTTGATGGAAATTATGCAATTTTTAGACAGCGACACTGTTGCCCGTCCTTGTGTCTCCGGGCGCACCACTGTGGCTCATTTAGCCGTGATGACATCATGATGAGGACTGGGGACACTGGTCTTTAATCTCGAAACAAGCCCAGAACCAGTCAGTGTACAGTCAGACCGCAATTGATTGACAGGCAGCGAGATGTTTGATTGGTCACCAATAATCGGCTTGCAGTAGCACGCGCGGCGGGCTGTGAGGTGGGGAACAGATGCAATGGCAAATTGATTTGTTATCGAGACTGTCTCATCTCTCTCTCTCCCCGCTTTCACTCCTTTTTCCCCCTCTTTATCCTCCAGGCATCGCTCTCCGGATCCAACCTCCTCCTCGTTAACTGCGAACAGGCAGTATTTGAGTGTTTCACCCTGCCTCAAACAAAGTCCACCTGTGCGTGGATCAGAGCAGGGCTGGCGTGGATCGGCCACACATTCTGGCAGCTGTCTGTCTCGTGTGTACTTTTCCAGCACGCTCAGTGTCTCCTGATTGTCCCCTCAGAGACGCCGTGCCGTTGTGCTTTCTCCACATTTGCGTGTGTCAGTGCGGCTCATGGTGTGGAATATTGAACGCTGTTTATTCTTGTTGTGGCTGGGTCGCCAAGGCGCGCTACGGCAGACAGCTCGTGATCACATTGATTATGCTGCCTTTCTGTGAAGTCGGCCTAATGTGGTTATTGTCAGCAGGTCTACATTGTCGTCCGGCGAGGGAAAAACCTCCCCTGGCTTAATGTACTTAATGTAGTGTGCGCTGTTTTGCATAATGCATAACGCGCTGTATAATTTGTCTGCTGCGGCTGGCCAATATTAAAACGCTGTCTAGACGCGCGTAGCTCTGTCCTTTTTATTAATAGAGAGCCAGCAGACGCGATAAAGTCCCCAAACAGCAACTTTACATTGTGTCCCGGTGAAGCCACAGCTTGGTGGATAGCCCACGGAGCGCGTCAGGCATTGATCGTATACGGGGCCATAAATCGCAGCTATTGGCACAGGCCTACCTGTAATAAAGATAATGTCGGGGTTTTAGGCATGACCTCTGTTGACTGAGAGGCTGGGCTCAGTTAGACGAGAACCTGTGGTTTCATTATTACCTATCCTTTATCGATTTTTATCAGTGTGGTGGGGGAAAAAAACCCAAACTGTCCCAAAAACCGGCGAGACTATTTCTATTTATTTCCATGATCCTCCCCGCAAACAATAGCTGCCAGCATCTTTCACCTCCTGCATATTCTCATCCAGGCTTCTGTGATTGTAGGTTTTTGAGTGATCTTGAAAATAGTTTCTTTTCCCTTGTAAACTCGTCGTCTAAGGCTGATGATATTTCTTCTTTTTTCCGTGTGTGTGTGTGTGTGTGTGTGTGTGTGTGTGTGTGTGTGTGTGTGTGTTTTGTTCTCAGGCAGGGAAGGAAAAGAAGTGCTCACAAACTTCTCTTTTTATTCTCTATTTAAAAAAAAAAGAAAAATCAATATGAAGCTCTTTGGAAATGAAATAGAGGAGTCTGAAAATGAAAAAGAAGTTTGTGGAAATTGAGTGAACATTTTCTAAACAGGAAAATGATGAACAGAAGCGAATGAGCTGACAGAATTTGTCATTATAAACCTCATATATTGAATAGAGTGAGTAGATAAAAATTGGACATCAATGAGCTCATCCAGGATGTGGGTCAATGGAGGCACTTAGCTGGTCGCCATTCATCCATTCATTCATTCATTCATTTAGAGTATATACAGTGGCAAGACTGTTTATTTAATTGTAATAATGACGAGAGCATTGTTTCAGTGTAGGTCACAATAATTTGTGTGCAGGAGACAGTCATTCATTTAAAGTACACGCAGTGGTGAGACTATTTAATTGAATCCTCGCTCCATTATTTTTGTGTAGGTCAAAGTATGCAGTAGATATGAGGTGGAGCAACATGTTGCCCTGTTAACTTGGATAATCGAGTTAACAGCAGCCACAGAGATAATCATTCATTTGGATATTCGACAACAGTGACTAAGAGCAGAGCAGGGTGTTTGGTGCTGCAGCGTTGTGTGCTTTCGCCTCGTCCTGCTTTCCTTTCCATCCATTTCTGGCCGCTGCTCTCTGCTCCCGTCTGTGATGGGAATACTGAGTAAGATGCTATTTAATTTCAGAAAGGCTGTTGACGGTCTTTGTGCGCCGAGCAGCAGTGAAAAAAAACCACAATTCACACTTGTTTAACTGTGTGTACATGCCCACCAAATAGCCAAATGAAGACATCTTTTTAACATAACATATGTTGGACTGATTGGTATGCAGGGTGAGCTTGTTGGACGGCTCACAAATTGTCTCCCTTCAGAAATCTACAGTCAATACTCTCCGCTGATTTTAAGAACAATGGCTCTGCACAGAGTGTTTACCATCCCTGCTGGATATTTGCAATTTGAAACTCCACTGACTTCACATTTACTAAATAAATGTATAGGTTTAATAAATGTATTGACAAATTAATTACATTTTTATTTTCAAAATGTAATGATGAATGTGGTCTATTCCCTTTTGTGAACAGTAACAACTTGGGATTTATTTGTATGCGTTTGGTAAATTTCTTTTTTTTTTTTAAAAGGCCACTCATTCATTCCATTTTGAGAAAAAGGAGAATTTGGATTTGTTAGGTTTGAAAATGTAAAGACAAGAGTATTTGTTCTTGCTGTTGCTGTTGCGTCAGAATTTACCAGGACTGATTTTTTTTTTCCCCATTCTGTTTCTCCATGCAGGTTTCGTCTTGTTTACAAAGATAGCTAAAAACACTGCTGAGCGGGGAAGGCGAGCCTCATGAGTCGGCCTCGTGGATTGCATCGACATAATGGATTTAACTAAAATGGGTATGATCCAGCTCCAGAACCCCAACCACCCCACTGCCCTGCTGCAGAAGGCCAACCAGATGCGTCTGGCCGGGACTCTGTGTGACGTGGTCATTATGGTAGACAGCCAGGAGTTCCACGCTCACCGGACTGTGCTAGCCTGCACAAGCAAAATGTTTGAGATCCTCTTCCATCGCAGCAGCCAGCATTACACCCTGGACTTTCTTTCACCAAAGACTTTTCAGCAGATTTTGGAGTATGCTTACACTGCCACACTCCAGGCCAAGGTGGAGGACTTAGACGACCTTCTGTATGCAGCAGAGATCCTAGAGATTGAATACTTGGAAGAGCAATGCCTCAAGATCCTGGAAACCATCCAGTCCTCAGATGAGAATGATGTGGAGGTCAATGCTAATGATGGCAGCACAGAGGAGGATGATGAGCGCAAAGGTCACAATGGAGCCAAGAACTCCAAAAAGCATTCCATGGAGAGTCCCTATCTGTCAGGTACCCAGCAAGTCTCCATCATGGCTGGCATGGTGGACCAGAGTCCCTCGGTCTCCACCTCCTTCGGTGTCTCCACCCTGAGTCCCACCAAAACTGCTGTGGACAGCCTGATGAGCATCGGCCAGTCTCTGCTCCAGCAGGGCTTTGGGGGCGAACAACTTGTCCACGGCAACTCCCACCACCTGATGACAGAGATCAAGACTGAAATGATGCAAGTGGACATGGGTGGCAACGGCCATGAGAGCCCTCCCAACATGGAGTCCAGTGCCTCCAGCAATGGTGAGCGAAGTGGGGAGGACAGGAACCGAGATGGTCCAGGAACACCAACCAGGAGCAGCGTAATCACCAGTGCCCGAGAGCTACATTACGTCCGCGACGAAGGCATGGGCGACCCACAAGCTGAAGTCAGCCAGATGGGGCTGGAAGCAATGGCCGGGATGACGGAGAAACATCTGGCCTCGCTGTACTCCCTACCCGTCAATCACAAATCAGATGCCATCATGTCCATGCCGGTATCCATGGCCTCCGCTCTCCCCATGTCCCCGGCCCTGGCTATGTCTATGGACTTCAGTGCCTACGGGGGACTCCTGCCTCAGAGCTTCATCCAGAGAGAATTCTTCAGCAAGCTCGGGGAGCTGGCAGTGGGCATGAAACCAGATGGCAGGAACCAGCATGAACGTTGCAATGTTTGTGGTGCAGAACTACCAGATAACGAAGCTGTGGAGCAGCACAGGTAAGCCACGTTTTCTTTCGAGTAGCTGCTTGCTAATTGTTGTGGCCTTTAAAATTTATGGTGTTTTTCAGCCTTTAAGCACTTGTTTTTTTTTTCAATAAATCTCATTTTAATGGTTTATGCAAGATTACCTAGGCACAATGTGCAACAGAAAGTTCAAATCTAAAGTAATCAGGTATCAGACCATCTTACTAATAATACATATTAGTTACTGTATTTCTATGGATAATAGTGACCTTCCCAGGTGTAGGTCACCTGGTTTTCCCAAAGGAATGAAGAAGTATAAGGCTTGGTTCATTGAGAATAAAGGAAATTAGAAATTTCTAATACCACTCATTCTGTGTGTCGGACAACTATAAAATAATCCGTCCACACATCTGTAATATATGTGTAGGTGTTGTCCTCTGACGGACACAAACCTTAGTTCTGTGTGGCTCTGGCCCAGACTTCCCACTCGTTCAATAATGCCAAGCCTGCCCAGATGACTGCCGGAGCAGTGCTGTCGTAACATTGTCTAAGACCATTAGTCACATCTTACAAGATGTGGGCGGCAGCTATCACACACACTTACCAAAGTGGTCGCCCCTCATCCCAGACCCGACTCACCTCCCCTTTCCAATAACTGCACAAGGGGGGCCCTTATTAGCTTGATAATTGGAGTAGACGGTCAGCCCAGGAAATGAGTACTGAACCTGGGCTCTGAGACAGGGAGGTAGTTTTAGGACAGGGGAGTGGCAGTAAACCAGCACTATTTCAATCAGTGTATATAAATAAATCCTCAGGCCTGGAAACTTCCCTCACTGCTGAAACTCACCTGTAGACATTTTCAAAACTGCATTTTCATTTCATTCTGCATCTGTCAACGTTTTATCAGCACAGTCAGAGTAGAAGCACCTTGTGGAGTGGCATCATTTCTTTGTGGAATTTGTACAGTCAGAGTGTTTTTGTGATTTATGACTTGGGGCCTTTTCTTACTTGAAGGCCACCTTCTCACCCTGCAATGTTTGCTTAAATCAATAGGAATGCACAGTAGTGGTTAAAGTTCACTTGAGGATTTGAACCCCATCACCCATCCCCTCATGCTTGACCCAGTATCTTGCTATGCATGTGTAAGAGCTGGGCTGATTGGCTGGGTCCAATCTCCTCCATTTTTTAAACTATGTCTCAATGTTGTCTTCAGAAAATACTGAATATTACAGAATGTCTTTTTCCCCTGTAGAGAAGTGTCCTTGTTTTCAGCCTTATACTATGTTATTGAGCAGTGTTTTTTATTTGGATGAAGTCAGTTACTTTGTAGTTTTGTGGTTTTGGCAGTTGCTTCTTAACGGGTACAAATGTGTGTGGGTTCATGACGAGTGCTCATTATTCATTTAATGAAAGGGGAATTTCTGCATGGACTGACACTATGTGTCTTTAAAAAACCCCAGCAACTGTAGAAGTGATTTTTGAGCCACTTAATATCCGTTCTTCCTAAGCAGGCTTTAACAGCAGCTTTAAAATACCCTATAGTTTCTGCGTAAAATGCATCAATGTGTAGTATCACTGCGATAAAGGACAGGCTGCACTAGTCTCTGTCTTGAGAAAAGTCTGGCGTGTGAAATGGTTGCCTGTGTTTCAAGAGGAATTTCATCAATTCGCTCAAGCTGGGAAATCTTGTATCAAAGGAGATTTCCAAACCGTTTCATGCATTGATCTTCCCGCTTCGCCCCATAGCATACTAATGGGTTAATTTAGACTGGTTGATACACCGACACGACACTGTTTAATATTGTAAGCGCTGTCCTGACAGCCTCCTGAAGTGTAGAAATCAAACATTGCATCATCCGCTGTCTGCTTTGCCGTCCGCACATGAAAGGTCTGCTGTGCTACCCTGAGATGCTTGATAATTCAGACGCTCCTCGTGTCCTCACAAATTCCAATGTGGGTCATTTGATAGCATATCAAGTCTCTTTTTTTCCCCAGCATACAGCCTTGTCAAACTGCCTGATTCTTTTGATGTGAATACAAGATGTTTTATTTCAGACGAGCGGAGTCGTGTTCCCTCTGACTAATTACACATCATTTCCCCCACAGCCACTGTGTCAGGGTCATCGCTGCCTCTGCAACAAACACATAAAAAAGTTGGCAGAGTTCACTTGGTGCAGGCAGGTCAAGTCAAACATGAGTGTAATTGTTTCCAGATGTGGCACAGGTCGTTGGTGTGAGGTGTCTGTATGTTAAAATGAATGCACCAGAAAGTACCCACTTCCTGTATAAATTTAGTCTCTGTTCCCTTTCATTCCTCTGTGCCCTGGATTATATCATAAAAAACACCCCACCCAGACTCAATACATCGTGTATTGCCTCCACAAGTGGTGTGTGGGGAGTCACCTATGGGATAAGGAAATATATGGCAACAATAAGATGTGTAAGCACAAGAGTCATTGAACATCTGATCAGATTACTTATTCTTTAATCCCATAACTCCCCACCAAATCAGTTTTTATTTTCTAATTTTAGACTCCTTTATTAAGGTTAAGCTCTTGTATGGTTACTTTTGTTCAGACAACTTGTAATATTAGTGACCTTGGGCTTCTTAAAAGTAAGGTATGTTACGGTACCCTAACCGTAACCCTAGGTATCAAAGACGTATTGTATCTGGTATCAGTACTGTATTGACACTAAACATTTCCAGCGACAGGCAGCCCTATCTCGAATTCACCTTCTAAAGAAAAAATGTATGAAGCTAAAAGAAGGGCCACATTTTATAGGTGCCATAGAGGGTTCTGTCGACTCAATCCCCATCTGACCACAACAACTCCCCCCCCCGCTGCCACCTCTCCTCCAGCAGTTCACCCCACCACCTCCCCACTGACAAGCCCTAGATTTATTTCTTAAAGGAAGCCCAGGGTGAGTGTTGTTACTGCTTCAGGGAGACAGGATTACAGCAATATTTTAGTAACCCTTGCACTGAGAAAATAATCAACACAGGAAGGGCCTGAGTGATTATTGGGAAAATAAATGCATGATGCAGGGAGCTAATTCTGCAGTGGCGGGGGGAAAGAAGAAAAAAAACCCTCCACTGCTTGGTATTCCAAACACAGCATCCAATTCACGGGAACTAGCCTTGGGTTTATCTCTTTCACTTAATCGTCCATTCTCATGCAAATGACTGACCCTCGCTGTAATGTACATCACATAAGTGAAAAAAGAGCCTATTTTAAAGGAGCGCTTTTCCAGCATATAGCCGTTAAACATTACTGATAACCATCAATGCTTTAACTCTGTCTTTTCATAATACAGTCTGGGTTTTTTTTGAAGGGGGGAAGAGGGGTTGCATGAATGAGACAAGTCAATGAATTCCTTCCTCTCCTCTGTGTTTTTGCTCATGTTATTTTTATTATTGGTGGAAATATTGGGGTTTGGCAGGGGTGGGAGGGGTGGAAATAATCACCCCTGCGTTAACCTCCGCACGCGCACACACTCATGTGTTCATTACTTTTTATACACATTCCCCTCAGCAGCAGCAGCAGCCAGCGCTCACTCTTCCGTTTCCTCTCCCTTTGTGGCAAAGGGGTGCGGAGGGCGCTCTAATACCCCGGGCCCCAGGTGTTTAAACAGTGGGCCCAAGGCCCTTATCTGTGCATATCAGAGTGGGACAGATAACCCTTGGCACTCCTCCTCAGTAAACCAAGAGCAGATTGAGTGCAGATAGCGGCCCGTAACGTTTGTTGCAGGTGATAACGATGTATGCACACACACATATACTCTGTACGTTGAGGTGAGGCCAGTGGAAGGTATGCAAGTTGTTTCCCCAGACACTTGTGTGATTTGGCCACTATCAACCATTAACCACTGCTTTTTACTATACATTCACACCATGAGCAACTGAGTAGTTGGGGTCAAGTAGCCACCATGATTGCTGGTTGTGTTGTGCCGACAAAAATCGGCTTGAGAAAGTCTGTACTTGCATAAGATTCCATTGAAAAATTCCAACTTATCTCTTGGAAAGGCAAACTTTATCTAATCTTAAACATCACTTCTATGTGTTGCAATGATGAGAATCATCTCTCCACTAATAAGATACTTAATGAAGCAAAGTTTGCAGTAAAACTTTCTTAAAGCTTGACAGGCGTCTCAACCACTCTCAACCAGCTGTGTTAGTTTCCACTTTCTCATCCCGACTGATGCATCTGATAGCAACTTTTATGATCAACTTGCAGCAACTTTTCAATTTCTTCTTTCTCCCTTTACCCTTAATGTTGTCATATATAGCCCCGACCTCTGTCTGAAAGGTGCACATACAGCAAGCACTGTTGTGGCAAATGTGTTCTCTCCGTGTTCGAGTGGCCACAAGGGTCCAATTGGGTCTGTGTGATTTCCGTCAGAGTGTTGACCGAAATGTATGACTGCGCAGACAACACATGGGATAGAAAATCGAAATGTTGTTTTTGTGTTGAGGTTACATTTGGATTTCCAGTGCTTGTGTGGGGAATGAATCCATGGACTGACACCCAGTGTGGTATGTGCAGAATCACGTGTGCGTCCATTGCTGTCTGCTTCCTGCTGATTTTGGAGTATATCGGAGCTCTTCAGAAAGCATTTCTCTGTAAAGGAAGAAAGAACTTTGCTAGCAGTTTGGAAGAATTATAGATAATAGTGTTTTTGAAGTAGGTAGTCAGATGTTTGCTTAAGTGTCTCAGTCTTGCTCTCTGAATACAGTATATCGCCTTTGGTCTGAAATAAAAATAACCTAAACTAAAACCAAAGCAACTTCAAGCGATGATTCGAACCTGTAAAACTGTGCAAGCATTCTCCTGCTTCCCGAAAGAAGCCCGGCAACAAAGCATCCATTACATGGCAGTGGATTACCCTCTATTTGAAATCACTCAGTGAGCTAAGTCTCCCCGGCTTGCACTCAGAGGTACAGTACATGTTGGTGTAATAATCCAATAGCACAAAAAGCCTCACTCAACGAAAACACCTCTCCAAGAAATACCTCAACCACAGACAACAGCAGA